CGTTGTGCAAGTCGTTTCTGTGTGATGTATGGATGATAGTGTATATGTGTGAATGTGTTTGCTCTGTTTGTGCAGTCAGTGGGTCAGTAGCAGTCCTACAGAGACTCTTAAACAGGAATATATTATTTAGCAGGGAGACAAATGCAGCCAGGCGGTGGCTCTGCAGTTCTACAAGAACCACTGCTTCACACATGATAGCAGGTATTTAAATACCCCTTTATGACGGCTGAGTAAACACACAGACACTTCCCGGGATGACAATGAAAAAACGTAAACTACAGAAGCGTGTGGAGGTGTTGAAAACGACTCGAAAACACCTTGTTTTATCATGACATTTAGAGCGTGATCATAATAGTGTCCAATAATATAATGAACAACATGTATTATTTACCTAGAGTGGACTTAACTTTTTAAAGTGTGGGTTTTTTGAAAATGTCTCTTTTTCATTTTACTGCTGGGTGTTTCCAATTATGAAAAATAAATGCTATTACCAATTATAAACACTTCTTAGGGGTCTTGTCTAAACGGAGGCTATGACATAAACCCTGGTATGCTTTATGGGTATGTATCTCATTGTGTATTTCCTTATCAGCTTACGTCTACTTCAGTGGTCCCACACTGTGTTAACTCCACTTACCTCTGTAAAAGACCATCTGCTACTGTATTTGGTCTTTGTGATTTGTTTGTTTTTTTAACAATAAGCTGCACTCACGCCTCGTAACTCATTTTGACTTCCAACCAGTTCCTCATTTTATTGGAGAGCGCTGCACTTCACACCCTCTGTTTACATTCATCAGCAGCTTCACAGGGGGGGTCAATCATGAGCCCATCACCCAGTGTTTTAAAGCACACCTTTGTGCGAAATGAGAGTCAGTGGAGTGTGAGAGGGTGTGGCATTTAATATACGACCTCAGTGTACGACAGCAGATTAAAAGAGCCAATAACACACACATGGGAGGGTTTACAAATGTTCTGTATCCATGCATTGTGTGGTCGCAAACACTACAGAAGCTGTAGTGTTTGAAGCACTACAAAATAACGCATTTTGACACAAACTTCAGGTTACTAAATATGTTTCCTAACCGTCTGTATCAGCAGTGCTTTAAAGGCCAATTGGGATCTTATGGAGATGGGTGTGTGCTTTGCTGAGAGTGCCAACAGTAGTGATTCTGGCCACAGCTCCCTCTAGACAAATAGTCTACTGACGTTCACTCCATAAGATGAAAAGCTATTAATAGATGCTGAGAGTTACACCACCTCAGACTCAGCTCTGCCTTTCCCTCATGTTTGTCCGGTTCTCTCTAACCCATACATCTTAATCACCAACTTCCAAGGCTAACCCAACCCTTCCTCATTAATATGCACATTACATCCTCGACACATTACTCCTAATTTACCCTGTTCCCTCACTCCTTCCCTTGCACCCTTGCAGGCTCCACCCTCTCGTCCTCTCCCTCGTTGGATGAGCATCCTGGCAGTGTGAAAGCAGAGTCCTCCACAGGTCATTTAACTCCAAGTTGTTGGCCGTGTATGTTATGACCACAGCATCTGCTATGCCTTAACTCAAACCAAGGCCATGAAAGCAAACACATTTTGCATAGCTAGACGTCTCCACAGCGCTGTGTCAGCGATAGAGGTCTAGCTTCACAAATTATCACTCTGTTAAAGGGGATAAAACACCTTTGTGGGGCGTTAAGCCCAGGATGCAGCAACCGTGCCCTCACAAAGTAGATAGGGCTCAGATAGGGGATGGGTTGGACAATGCTGCATGATTGACACAGCCAATGCCATGCTCATATTAAGCACCCAGGAAGTGAGCTGGAAGGTGAAGCAAAGTTTAGTCGAACGGTAGTATAAGCAGGGGTGCACATCACTTTTTGGGGGTGGAGGTGCGCTAGTGAGCACGCTCATGAACTGTTCGCCGGAGCCTCGCAGCAGGGTTACTGTGCGGAGCGCATAAAGCAGACCCTTCACGCGATAGCGAGGGGTAGAGCGAGGGATCGCAGATGCCGTCATGCTCGCGGACGGATTAAAAAAATTAAACCTAAATGGCTCGCGAATTATACCGTTAATATACCTGGGCGGCCCGCCCACGTAAAGTCTATGTGTGGGAAACCCTGCTATCTTACCAGTTCTTATGCAACTCGCAAATATCTCTCTCTCTTCTCTCTTTTCTATCTCTCTCTTCTCTCTTCTCTCTTCTCTCTCTCTCTCTCTCTCTCTCTCTCTCTCTCTCTCTCTCAGAGATGTCTGTTAGTCAGCGTGTGATTGTTTTAGGCTAAAGCAACTTCATCTGAACAGGCTGGCTCAGTGGCTGTGGCTCAGTGGATAGTGTGCTGGACTTCAAATCAGAGGGTAGCAAGTTCGAGTCCCACTGCAGTCAGCATGTCGTTGTGTCCCTGGGCAAGACACTTCACCCCAAATTGCTCCTGTGGGGATTGTCCACAGTACTGGATGTATGTAAGTCGCTTTGGATAAAAGCGTCTAACAACTGACATGTAATGTAATGTAATGTAATGAATACTTGAATAGCCCTTATTCAATTCATTAGTTCCTAAAAGATGTGCTTATAGCCAAAAAAGAAAAAAAGCCCGAGGGGATTTTCCCTCTCCATTAATTTGACTGAGCTGAGACTGAACCTGACAGAGTTGATTTGAGGTGGGGCTTAAGGAAAATGCAAGTCAGATGCTTAATGGGAGCAGATACCAGAATGTTCTCGAGTCAGGCAATGTGATGTGCCATCTAGACACTTCCATAGGAATAAAGAGGGCTTGCATCAAATGGTGTACCAAGGTCTCATCCAGTGGGTCAGACTGGAAAGCACACAGCCCACTTGAATGTGTTTGTAGCCATTTTGTGTTGACTTATCATTGCTCAATCAACAACTGTAAAAGAAGATTATTTCAATGGAAAGATGCTTCTTTTATCTGCAGTGGGTTACCTGAGATATGTTACCTAACCCTGTTAAGATACAGCTAGGAAGAGATGGTTCACACTAGCTTAGCTTAAAACCTACATTACACACTATAGGAAAAGCACAATAGGGCCTCTTTAACCGTCAGCTTGCTTTACATAATATTCTTTGTGCCATTGACCTAGAAAGTGCAATACAGATTAGTGGTATATTTATAAAGGTGTAATCAACAGGTTGGAGGACATTGCAGTATGTACATGATATACAGTAATTGTGTGCAACCATGTGTGAAAGAGAAAGATACAGTACACAAACATAAATCATAATTCGTGTTTCTGTTGTTGTTCAACCATTGTTTGCGTCTATTCTCATCACAGCTAGTGACAATCCCAGTTCTGCTGCAGCCCACATCCTTCTCAGTCTGGAGGTGGTAAATCAACTTCAAAACAGATGCAGTGTGTGTGTGTGTGTGTTTCCAGCGTGAGGTGGTGAGTGTGTGAGGAAGCGAGCATGGCAGATTTAACAGGCTGGTGAGCAACAAAGAGCTGCTTTCTTTCTTCTTCTGCAGTCAGCTCGGCTTCCTGCTTCTCTGCCTCCAGCAAAGAGCTAGCAACGCTCCATAGATAGAGAGACAGATAGATAGATAGATAGATAGATAGATAGATAGATAGATAGATAGATAGATAGATAGATAGATAGATAGATAGATAGATAGATAGATAGATAGATAGATAGATAGATAGATAGATAGATAGATCGATAGATCGATCGATGGATGGATGGATGGATGGATGGATAGATCGCTCGCTCGCTCGCTCGATCGCTCGATAGCTATCGCTCGATCGCTCGCTCGCTCGCTGCTCGCTCGCTAGCTCGCTCGCTCGCTCGCTCTCTCGCTGGCTGGCTGGCTGGCTGGCTCGCTCCCGCGCGCGCGCTCGCTCGCTCGCTCGCTCGCTCGCTCCTGCTGCTCGTTGCTCGCTGGCTGGCTGGCTGGCTGGCTGGCTGGCTCTGTGGCTGCTGGCTGGCTGGCTGGAGCTCGCTCGCTCTCTCGCTCGCTCGCTCTCGCTGGCTTGGCTGGCTGGCTGGCTGGCTGGCTGGCTCTCGCGCGCGGTCGGTCGGTCGCTCTCTCGCTCGCTGGCTGGCTGGCTGGCTGCTGGCTGGCTGGCTGGCTGGCTGGCTGGCTGGCTGGCTGGCTGGCTCCGCGCGCGCGCGGTCGGTCGGTCGGTCGGTCGGTCGGTCGCTCGCTCGCTCGCGCTCGCTCGCTCGCTCGCTCGCTCGCTCGCTCGCTCGCTCTCGCTCGCTCGCTCGCTCCTCGCTCGCTCGATAGGATGGATGGATGGATGGATGGATGGGAACTCACAAACTAGCAACAACCCTTATGGGATAGGATGGTTGAGAGTGTGGTACCCAATTAGTTTTGAGGTGGTACATGTTGCTGTTAAGAACAGTTGTTATACTGTGATGAGGCAACAATGCTACCGTATAACAAAATAAGATATCAACTTCTGACTGAGCAAATGCTGAAAATCTGTGTTGGCAGCATGTATGGATATGCCAGGCAGGTACGCAGTTTTAAATTGATAATTATTGAATTACTGTAAACAGAACTCTTATAAACACCGAACAGGCAACGTCATTTTGTAGTTCATTCTCCAGTGCAGACAAAAGTACAGCACAAAGGCTGGAAAAAAAATGAAGGGGGAAGCAGAAACATCACCATCGCACAAAATAATAGCGTGCCTGGACAGAACGCCATTTGCAGCCGACAGGACAGTGACAGCCTAATGACTGCTGCCACTAATGCAGACGCTGCACTCCAATCACAATGCAGAGATTTTATTATCCGGCCACATTCTGCCGGAGGATATTGAGTTGTGAGGCCAGAAATATCAGTGACAGTGAAAAATTGTCTTGTTTGGATGGCAGCGTAAGTGGACGAATGAGACATGCGATTTCAAAAACAACAGCAAGTGTGCATGTGGAAATCAGATATCATTACAGATAATCATCTACACAGCAGAGTGTTGTTTATTCTAGCCCCTTTTCCATCTCTAACTATATTTACTCTATATTGCTTTTTCCCCAGATTGGAGTAAGCGAGTGGACTATGAGCCAGGAACAGGAAGTAAGCAGCTGTTTCCCAAAATGCACCTGGAGACGTGTGGCGGGCCGCTTTCGTCGGTGAGGACGATAGTGGAGCTGCAGAACAACCACATCGGGAAAGGATGTGACCGTGAGACCTACTCTGAGAAATCTCTGCAGAAGCTCTGTGGTATGTCCTGCAAACAAAGACATGTTGTTGTGTTTACAATACTATACTATATATACTATACCATAAAGGCCTGTGTCCACTTAAAGGTCCCCTATTATACAGTTTTTTACCAAATATTATAGGTCTCAGATATATTCAAAACATGTCTCTGAAGTGTTTGGCTTCAAACACCAAACGGATCATTGCAGCATCCCATAATCCCCTCTGTTTCAGCCCTGTTTCCAAAGTGCTGATTCTCTGTCTGTTACTTTAGATGAAAATAAGGAGCCCCTCCCCACGCCCCTCTGAGAGATATTTGGTTAAAAATAACACAATAAGTCCCTGAGGGAAGATTAAGCAAATGAAGCCGCTGCCGTCACTTCTTCTTCTTCTGCTTTGGGTTTACTGGCAGGCCGCAAATAACTTCACGGCGTATACTGCCACCCGAAGTCCCTGGCCGGAAGTCCCCGGAGTTGGGGACTGGCTTCAGTAGAAGCTGCTGGGACTCCCAGCAGCTTCTACTGAAGCCTTCCGAGTAAATCGCCAGAACGCCGACACCTCCTCATCTCCACCGCTCCCATGTTTTTTTTTGTGTTGCCATAAGTTATTCTCTCTCCGTTGGTGCGCGGGGCTAATGCTAATGCTAATAATGCTAATGCCAGCAAATACAATGGCGGCTTCACAAAACTTTTCCGAGTTTTACGGGGCGTGGTTTACAATTCGCCCAGCCAATCAGAAATTGGAACTGTTTTCTCTCCAGGATAGTACTTGCTCTCTAGCAGGGACTGAAAAGGGGGTAAAAGTTCTCATGAACTAAGTTCTCTTTTTGGTGTGAACGCAAAATCCCAGGAACTATCGGAACTAAAAGGGAAAAGTACTCTGGTGTGAAAGCGCCTAATTTCATCCCCTCCATATGTAGGGAATGGAAAAAGGGTTTCAACACTGTATCTATAAAGGCACTCTATAGCCTAACAAATATCTTGAAAAAAAAGAAAAGCGCCTTTGTGTGGTGGCAACATAGTGCACTCTCTTCTTGTTTGAAACATTTTTTTAAAAGACGCATGTGCTCAGAAAAAGGCGCCATTAGGACATGGGCCCTTGTCGTTATTCTTTGAACAGAATGAGAAACAGCTTAGATTGAGTGTGCATTTCTGGCATGAAGCAGTAAATCACATGGGAGTTGGACCCGAGGCTATCAGGATGGTGGTGGATATGTAGAATATGCTGTAGATGGCTGATCAAAGATGATTTCTTACTGAGGCGGCAAACTGAAAGTTATTAGTGCATTGAATATGAAGTAAGTTGCTTCTAAAAGCATCAGTGGAGACCGCAGTTGGAGAACCAGGGTCAGACGGGGCCTGAGGTGTTGTTCTCTACTCTTTTTAAAGCAGCATGTGAAAGCTCCCTGTCCGTGTTGCTGTCTTATCTCCGCTTGTGTCCCTGCAAACCCCTGTGTGCTAAATGAAGGCACCAGAATAGCAACTTAAAGCCGTGTCACTAATGATGTGACAGAGCGAGGGCATTAGCTGCCTCAGAAGCAAACCACGCTTTCTCCTCGGTGACTGATGAGCAGCCGAGTCGCCGTGTCGATGCCCAAAGCACCAACAAAGCTTCCCCCCCCCCCCTCTCTGCCCACAATGCACTGCCAGCATGGGGGCTGGAGTCATCATCTTTGACTAACGGCCTTCACAAGCCCCATCCCAGCTCATCTGAATGCATCACGTCCCCTCTCTGCCTCCCCTGACTCCCCGCTCCATGCATGGTTTACCGCTAAAGAGTCCTTTTCAGGCACCTCATAATCGTTATCTGATAGCGAATAGAATAAATTGTAATTGCTTTTTTAAAGCACAATCAATTTGAGATAATGTACAAAGACATCGGGTAAAGAGAGGGCTGCAGCTGGGTGCTGGAGAAGTCGATGTGTATTTATTTACTGAGGGAATCTAATTACCGGAGTCAGAGCGTCGGCACCATTTAGGGAAAAACTGAGCTTTACAGACAAGGGAAAAACATCAATTAATGTGCTAACACTGTGTTATTAGCAGCGATGAACAGATGCAATTATTTGCTGGACAAGTCAGACAATACTAACATTTCCAATTCTTTCTCGGAACAGCATGGTTCCCGTACCGCTTTGATTTATTACAATCCATAAGCTGGTACAAATGATTTATAAATGTGGTTCAAACGCATGAAAAGCATTCTTCACTGTCACACAGAGGGGCAAAGATTGATTGGTAAGGGCATGTCAAACACATCGAGGAGCAAAGAGAGCGTCAACTAACGTTTGTCAAGGTGTCAGCTTGAAAACAAAGACCATTCACGACTCAACATATAGAAGACATTGTCTCAAAGCGATGATGGAGTTGCTTTTAAAGGGAAGAGAAGGAAGGGAATAGGATGGCTCAATGCAATGATTGTTGTGAATTGTCAGTATGTCGTATAACACAAGTGTCATATGTCTGATTCACAGCACAGCCCATCATTCTCACCTTCCTTGGCGTATCTTTTTGTCATGTGTTACTCGGTCAATACGTCCTCTCTGTCTCCATAAAGGGACATTTTAGTGTTTAGCCATGTTCTACATTTGGGAAACGGTGACTCACATCTCGTTCCTTTTTGAAAGTCATTCGCCATGAATCAATACCCACATCCTATATCCATCTCGGCCCATTGATAACATATTAAGCGCTGCCATCTGCCTCACTCATAAGTAATCAGAGCCAAGGTTAGGCCAATATAAGTGAACCGCATACCTGCCGTGATTGTTATTGACACATCTTCTGTCGCATCTCTTTTTCTTTTGTTCTCACAGGGGCCTCGTCGGGCAGCACTGACCTCCTGCCGGCCCCCAGCGCCTCCACCAACTGGACGGCTTCCCTGGTGACGGACAGCGGGCGGGACAGCGATCTGATCTTCAGGTTCGACGGTCATCAGGCGGCTAAGATCCCCGACTGGGTGGTACCACAGAATCTCACGGACCAGTTCACCATCGCCACCTGGATGAAGCACGGACCCACGCCTGGGCTCAGAGCGGAGAAGGAGACGCTGCTGTGTAACTCCGACAAGACTGGTGAGTGTGAGGGAAGGACTTACATTTAACAGAGATACATATATTAGTGATATCAAAAAGAAGTTGGCAATAGTTTTGATGTTTCGGACTGTCAAGAAATTCCATGAAAAGCCAGAAATAAGTGTCTGTAAAAGCCTAACCCTTATGTAACCCCAATTAATTTGGAGAGCTCTCATATTTCTTTACTGAATAACTGTGAAGTTTTTTTATTGATTCAGTAAACCCCAAAAATAACAAAAACATATTTGCCATGGCCATGAAGGCTTCCCTGTTGGTACTCTACACACAATACTCAAATACAAACCGAAACCAACAAGAGGAAAACAATTTAATGCAGATCGCCCCTCCTCGTAAATTGACAGAGAAAAGCACACCTTTTTGATTAAAGGTAGGGTAGGTAAGTTTGAGAAACCGGCTCGAGATACACTTTTTGTTATATTCCATGGAATGCTCTTAACATCCCGATAGCAATGAATATCTTAAGTGCTTTGACAAAAAATCCATAAAAAAATGTCATCTGTGGAAGCCGTAGCGCTGTAAAAAGCACGACCAATCATTTTAGCCGGCCCGGCTAAAATAACTGGATGGCCTACCTGCCTGTCAGCCTTCCATCTGTGCACAAACTTATCTCGTGCCCTCATTGGTCATGTATGTGTTGGAGGAGGGGCTCTATAAGGAAGTGGCAGATTTTCTCCGGTTGTGTATTTTCTAATTCTAGCGATCTCGAGCCGGTTTCTCAAACTTACCTACCCTACCTTTAATAGAAACACTTACTCCCAACAGAAATGTATACAAGATGAATAACATGTGAACAAATATAATTAGCAAATTAAAAAGGTATAGGTCTCTATTGGCTCTTAAAGACTCTTTCATAAAGCTCCATGTCTGGTTAGCTGAGAGTGAGTAGGTGGTAGGGGTGGGAATCAGGCTCCCCACGATACCATACTATCCCGATACTTACGATACGATAGCCACGACAAGATAGTATTGCGATTCTACGATATGCTAAGTATTGCGTTATATTGCGATACATTGCGCATATATATTGATATATATGATTGCATGATATATTGGGTTCCAGTGTCTTTAACATGTGTCAAAAGTGTTCCACAATGCTGTATGGATGCAGGTCTTTGCACATGAAGAAGGTGATTGAGTTATTCTTCGCTCGCTCAGAATTTGATGTTAGCTTTGCCAAGCTAATTTGGATTTGCAATATGAATAGTTTATATAATAAAATATCGATACTTGGCGTCCGTGTATTGAAACAATATCGCGATACTATGCTGTATCGATGACTTCCCCCACCCAGGTGTGATGATTGGCTCCCTGGTGCCCACTTCCTTCTCTTCTTCCCACAGAGATGAACCGTCATCACTACTCGCTGTACGTCCATAACTGCCGCCTGGTGTTCCTGCTGAGGAGAGACTTCACCCAGGTGGACACCTTCAGACCGGCCGAGTTTCACTGGAAACTGGAGCAGGTAGGACCGCCGTGATTTGGGACACAAACGACAAACTTTTGCAGTGCTGGAAGAAGTCCTTAGATTTTAAACTTAGGTAGAAGTAGCAATACTAAATGGTGGTGAAAATACAAAAAGTCCTGCATTCAAAATCCTACTTAAGCAAAAGTAGTGTATTGGCATCAAATTATACTTATTATAGATAGATAGATAGATAGATAGATAGATAGATAGATAGATAGATAGATAGATAGATAGATAGATAGATAGATAGATAGATAGATAGATAGATAGATAGATAGATAGATAGATAGATAGATAGATAGATAGATAGATAGATAGATAGGTAGGTAGGTAGGTAGATAGATAGATAGATAGATAGATAGATAGATAGATAGATAGATAGATAGATAGATAGATAGATAGATAGATAGATAGATAGATAGATAGATAGATAGGAAGATAGAAAAGACAGACAGACAGACAGACAGACAGACAGACAGACAGACAGACAGATAGATAGATGTATACATACAGTATGATAGTATATCATTTACAGATATACAGAAGAATTGCAAATTGTAATTAAAGTACCAAAAGTAAAAATACTTGTTAAGCGTCACGGCCCATTTCAGAATCATGTATATTAAATAATCAAATAAATTAAAGTGCAAGTTGAGTAAATGTACTTCATAACATACTTAACTCACAACAAGAGTGACAGTGTATACCTTAAATCACTCGTGAAGCCTCTATCCTGGATTAAACCTGGATTACACATCCACTCATGGCTTAATCCATGTTGGTTTGTAGCTGAACTAATGATAGAAAACATCCTGGGGTTCAGTGAAGGTTCAAAAGGGAGGAAAAACCACACATGAGTCCATGGACCCTCATAAGGATCTGATATATAAAAAGCTGAACACACATCCATGATTGTTGTGTGTTTGTGTGTTCATTCAGAACAAGCACTTGTTTGTATTTTTAAGTAGTGCTTGAATGCACTAGAAATTGTCCTACACTCCAATCTAAAAGCCTAACCCTTATTTAACCCCAATTAATTTGGAGAGCTCTCATATTTCTTTACTGAATAACTGTGAAGTTTTTTAATTGATTCAGTAAACCCCAAAAATAACAAAAGCATATTTGCCATGGCCATGAAGACTTCCCTGTTGGTACTCTAATAAAGCCATAGCTCTATTATTTCACTACTCTCGCCTGATGTTATTTCAAAATCAAATATTTCCTGTGTTAGCTGACATGGGATCAGAATTGGAAATGATTGCAAACAGGATTTTTGGGAGGCTTTGGCATTTGGTACATACATGTTTGTATTAGTAAGGCAAGACTGAAAGTGTTTTTAGAAAGATATTGTCACTACTTTGATTGAACTAGTGCCTTTGCAAAGCATGCCTGGCCAGAACATAGTCAATGCTTGGATTTCGGTATTGCTGCTTGCAGATTTCTCAAGAACTGCTCATATAAACAACTTTACACTTGACACCTGCCATGACATAGTTGCATCACACAGTCAGGTCACAAATAATTAAAACACCGGTCGAATGCAGTCCAGTCACGATCTTGGGTGAGCAACAATGATGAGATGCACAGAGATAATGTTTTTATTATTTACAAAAATACATGGTTATTGCTTGCTCTGACATAACTACTGCTGTTCATATAGTAAAAACTCATGTTTTGTTTGCAATATCTTAAGTTAGTGAATGTTGCTCAGGGTTTAAATGATTGTCTGCTAATTGGTGGTTCGATCCCCATCAGTCAACATGTCAAAGTTTTATTGGGAATCCTACTGAACCCAGAATTGCTCCTTAAGGCCTGACCAACTGTGTGTGATATCTTTAGAAGTCTTTGTACAGTACGTTGATTCGGACAAAGGAAACGTCAGCTAAGTGAAAAGTTAAATTGAAAAAGGAAACCTAACATTACTATTTGATTTGCAATGGCAGAGTGGCCATGTTACTGTAGGGAATTGTCTCCTAATCATTGCCTCTGAGAAGAAACTTTCAGTTAGTATATCCAGCATCCCTGTAACATTGGTTAGAAGAAGAAGAAGAAGAAGAAGAAGAACCTTTATCAACCTTTATTAACTTTGTTATCCAACAATTGGCCGTGGTCTGTTAACCCCAACCCCAACTCCTGATCCACAGAGTGACTGTTTATTCAAAGTTTTCTATATTGACACGTGTCTAAAAATGCACCAAATTCAAACCATCCACCACCAACCTAACCTGCCAAATGCCAAGTTGAACGTCAAAGGACCCACCCACCTACACACTGAGATGTATTGCTTTATAGTTAGATGTTCAGGTTGAAATATGCCATTGTGTCATCAGTTTGTAAGATAACACATCAATCAGTTAAAGGTGGGATAGGTAAGTTTGAGAAACCGGCTCGAGATACACTTTTTGTTATATTCCATGGAATGCTCTTAACATCCCGATAGCAATGAATATCTGAAGTGCTTTGACAAAAAATCCATAACAAAATGTCATCTGTGGAAGCCGTACTACTGTAAAAAGCACGACCAATCATTTTTGCCGGCCCGGCTAAAATAACTGGATGGCCTACCTGCCTGTCAGCCTTCCATCTGTGCACAAACTTATCTCGTGCCCTCATTGGTCATGTGCGCGTTCGTGTGTGTTGGAGGAGGGGCTCTATAAGGAAGTGGCAGATTTCTTCCGGCTGTGTATTTTCAAATTCTAGCGATCTCGAGCCGGTTTCTCCAAAATTACCTACCCCACCTTTAAGTGCTATCGTGATTTCCTTTACAAAATACGTTTAAAGTTGTCCTATCATGCAAACTGCACTTTTTGATGTCTTTTATATATAAATATGTGTCCCCGGTGTGTCAGGGAACTCACGCAGCGTCAGAAAATAAAACCCTCTCTCTTTTCCTCCGTACCCAAATCTCTAAAAACGGGGCTACAACGGAGCTGATACAGATTTGCGTCCGATATGACGTAATATCTGAAATGTGGGCTGGCTTTGGGCCTATCAGAAACGTTGCTATCAGAAACAATGCCCGACTGTTTTGGACGTAATATGGTGTTTATTTACATTAGCAAGCATCGCTAACACTCAGAGCTAACCTGTCCTGGAGAGAATATGTGTAAAAAATCAGGAAATAAAAAAAGGAACTCACCTTGTAGTAAACCCGCAAGAGAAAAAAGCATTTCAGCTCTTCAGACCTGTTTTTTATATGTTTTATTATATCTGAGACCCATAATATATATGCCTAAAAATAGCATGATAGGAAACCTTTAAGTAGTCAATCCGGCATAGCAAAGAGAGGTAAAAACATGGTCTCTCCGGTGCATGTGTGTGTGGCAGACCCGACGCCAGAACAAATCTACAGATATGATTTTCATGGGAGGGCACACAAAACCGCCATGTGCCGCGGGCCGAGATTTTCTTTTGGGGGTGCTGTGGGGTAGCTTGACGTTTCATAGAGGGTGCTCAAACATTTAGGGTTTCCCATTAATGTACCGGTGCTACAGTGGAATGTTCTACTGCAACACTCCCCACATACACAGTACACCCGCGACTGTTACAACGAAGGCTCGATAATCAGCTCACGGCATATAGGTGTAAGCAGGGGTAAAGTGCTATTTTTATAAGTGGGGGGGGACCTAACCTCCTCTAGGGGGGTCCGGGGGCATGCTCCTAGAATCCTTAAATATTGAAATGAAAAGCATCAGTCTGGTGCACTTTGAGAGCAACATTAAGAGATCTATGGATACATCTCTCAACATATGAAACAGAACTGTAAACAGATTTACTTTTCTTTATGGATATTTTACAAATCACTCCCCTTTTAAACTGTATTCTTGTTTTTCTGTCCTATAGTATTTCATACCTGTTTTTCATTTATTACTCTTATATTACTATCTGACATCACATACCTCGTAGCATTAAAGTTCACAGTATATTTATAATTAAAAAAAATTAAGATATATATATTTTTAATTTTTATAAATAATAAAAAAAAACGTGTTTATTGGGGGAGGGCAGGAATGTCAAATGGGAGGGCCTGGCCCACCCTGGCCCTCCCACGGAGCCGGGTCTGGTGTGTGGACAGCAGCTGTCTGTTGATCAAGGATGCTGTCTGTAAAGTCAGACAGGTCTCCTCGACCTCAAGACCCCACACTCACAAGCCGAGGTCATTGGATTCAGAGGAGAGACAAACAGCTGAGCCTGGACATCCAGACGCAGCACCGAGGCAAATTTGATCAGACACATCACTGGTGTTGATTGGACGGAGAGCATGGAAGAGGTCATCCATCAGCTGCTGACACATGGCGCACGTGAGGAATAGTCCGGAGGAATTTAAACACAGGCTTCCCACAGACAGATCAAAAAAGTGTGTTTTCTCATCCAGTCCACGTTGTATTTCCTCAGTAAAGAGTTGGTTTTTTCCAGGACTACATCTGTCAGTCCTCTTTAATCTCCACCTGTAGATTTGGTCCGATATATCTGATAACAGGAAGGGGTTTGATACATTAAAGTTCCCCTATTATACTGTTTTTCATCAATATATTATAGTTCTCAGATATATACAAAACATGTCTCTGAAGTGTTTGGTTCCAAACACCAAACAGATCATTGCAGCATCCCATAATCCCCTCTGTTTCAGCCCTGTTTCCAAAGTGCTGATTCTCTGTCTGTTACTTTAGATGAAAATAAGGAGCCCCTCCCCACGCCCCTCAGAGAGATATTTGGTTAAAAAGAACGCAAAGGTGCTCTAGGAGGAGATTCAGGTGATAAGGTGAGGGGGGGGGGTTACCTTGGAAGCTGATTGGCTAATGGTTACACAAGCCAAAACATCGTTATGACATCATAAAGTGGCCAAAATCTGATCAGCTCATTTTCAGACAGGTTTTTATATAAATGGATCAGGACAAAAAGAGAGAGAATCTTTTTTCCTGACACTTTCAGAAACTTTTTACACAGAGGGAACACATGTTGATGTAGAAGAGACATGAAGAAGAGGGGACACATGT